AATAAGTCAATGTAGAAGCATTCTCCTACATTTCTCCCCAATTCAGTAATATATCTGGTCTTCGTTTTTTAAAAAGTCAAAACCTCATTTTGAGTCATAGTATCTTTCGCTCTTTTGTAGTTTCTGTTGTATTAAAGTTTCTCAAACAGCAAATTACAGCTATCGGCCTTATTTGCGTCTAAACTACAGATATATACTGGCAAGTTATTATTATTATAGTGTTTTAATGTCTCACTCAATAGGAACTCTGCATGCAGGGTGGAGCTATTTTGATTGAAACCAAATTAATGAGAGTGGATGTCTGATATTTCCGGACATACTTGCATGATAATATATTCAAAGAGTTTAGTCAAGATAGGTGTGATACTAATACCGCGGTAGTTATCTGAATTATTAAGATATTTTTTATAGGATTTTACCATGGGAATAATTATGGAAGTTGATAAGTACTCCAGCGCAGCTTCATTATTAAAGATACTGTTATAAAACTTTGAAAGCCATATAAGAAGGTCTTTGTTAAAAGAGTATATAAGATATTCTGCAGTAATTCCTCAAGAGTCACTTGATCTATTTGACTTTAGCATAGGAATACAAAATTCAATGTTGGAAGTTGATAAGAGTATTTTATTTGGTTCAACTATAAGTTAGGGAATATTTGAAAGCCATATAAGAAGGTCTTTGTTAAAAGAGTATATAAGATATTCTGCAGTAATTCCACAAGAGTCACTTGATCTATTTGACTTTAGCATAGGAATACAAAATTCAATGTTGGAAGTTGATAAGAGTATTTTATTTGGTTCAATTATAAGTTAGGGAATATTTGAAAGCCATATAAGAAGGTCTTTGTTAAAAGAGTATATAAGATATTCTGCAGTAATTCCACAAGAGTCACTTGATCTATTTGACTTTAGCATAGGAATACAAAATTCAATGTTGGAAGTTGATAAGAGTATTTTATTTGGTTCAACTATAAGTTAGGGAATAATTAGTATTTTTTATTGCTCTCTATTTTAACATTTCTCAAATTGAAGTTTTTTTTCAATTATCAAATATAACAAAATGATCAATTGCAATTGTTTTTGTTTTGTTTTTTGAAAATAAACTATTTACATTGTCCCTTCACAAAAATACTATTGTAATATTTATACTATATTCAATATATATTATATTTATACTAATTCAATATATATATATATATATATATATATATATATATATATATATATATATATATATATATATATATATATATATATATATATATATATATATATATATATATATATATACAAATGCTGAGCGATTTATTTTACATGATTTATCAGCTCCAGCAAATCTAATTATTTTTTCACTCTGCTGTAAAGAAAGAATATGGACGACCTTTTGGGGGAAATGCTTTTTTTGTTCGTAAAAACTTACTGCTTTCTTTTCATGTCATACACGAAGATGAACACATTCTTGCAATAAAAGGTTCATATGACAACAGCGTTTTTATTTTTATTTAGTTTATCTTACTTTATGCAGAAATAATTCTGAACCATTAGAACAATAACTTAGTATCAACTTAGAGTAATTGCCTCCATCATTAACACATACGAAGATGAAGGAGAGTTTATAATTGCTAGCGATTTTCAGTCATTTTCTGAAAATATATATGACGGGGAAGTTCAAAATAGCCAAACACAAAACAACTTTTCTAAGCATTTATCTAATTTTCTTGAAACAAATGAGCTTTCTTTTTTGGATATAGTTTGTGGTACTGGTCCTACCTATAAAACGTTAATTCTTACATCAATCTCATAGCAGACTTAAACGAATCATCAATATGCTTTACAAACTGTAAAAATATTCCTCCTTCACATTTAAACATGATTGACCAATAACCAATTGCTACACATATTAATCTTAAAAATAAGTCTAATTCCAGTTATAAATAATATGCTTAAAAAATACAATACAATCCCAAATTATGCATGGAAAGATGACAACTTCATTGAAATTTATAATCATAACCTCTCTCAGTTCTTTAAAGATTTCACTTTTATTGGAGAAGCAATAGAAAAAAAAAAAAATCAAACAACATGCAAAAAAAAAAAATAATGCTGCCACTTAAGCAATGGAAAAATATTTTCAAAAAAAAGAATTTTGCATTTACTCTAAATGATGCATCATTTAGAATGTCTTTGCATAATTCAATTTCTGATGTATACCATCGATGGTATACATCATAAATTGAATTATGCAAAGACATTCTCTCTTTCCACTTTAAGGAATGGAAAAAATGTTGCAATAACAGATCACAGGAATCCATTTTATTTAATAAATTTTCGTAAAACTGTAAAAGCAGCTCATAACCTAAAAATCAATAAAATTACCAAAAACATTGAATATCTTAAAAAAACTCTCAAAAGTTTTGAAACAATATCCAAAAAATTAAATCAAGTTTAAACCCTTGTATTTTTATGATAAATAAGAAACAATATAGAAGTGAAATTGTGGAAGAATTTCGACAAAACTTTAATACGATTCTCAACACTCCCACAATTACTAACAACATTCCAAACTCTGCAATATTCCTTAACTTATAGTTGAACCAAATAAAATACTCTTATCAACTTCCAACATTGAATTTTGTATTCCTATGCTAAAGTCAAATAGATCAAGTGACTCTTGAGGAATTACTGCAGAATATCTTATATACTCTTTTAACAAAGACCTTCTTATATGGCTTTCAAAGTTTTATAACAGTATCTTTAATAATGAAGCTGCGCCGGAGTACTTATCAACTTCCATAATTATTCCCATGGTAAAATCCTATAAAAAATCTCTTAATAATTCAGATAACTACCGCGGTATTAGTATCACACCTATCTTGACTAAACTCTTTGAATATATTATCATGCAAGTATGTCCGGAAATATCAGACATCCACTCTCATTAATTTGGTTTCAATCAAAATAGCTCCACCCTGCATGCAGAGTTCCTATTGAGTGAGACATTAAAACACTATAATAATAATAACTTGCCAGTATATATCTGTAGTTTAGACGCAAATAAGGCCTTCGATAGCTGTTTGAGAAACTTTATTACAACAGAAACTGTTATTTAATATATATATATATATATATATATATATATATATATATATATATATATATATATATATATATATATATATATATATATATATATATATGTATGTTGTTTTGTTTTTGTTTGGTTTTTTTAAAAGGTCTCTGGTTTGAATTAGTCTATTTACTTTGTCCCTTCACAAAAATATTATTGTAATATTTATACTATATTCAATATATTATATGTATAAGTATATGTGTATACTGTATATGTGAATGTGTATAGACTATACACATTCACATATACAGTAGACTATACACATTCACATATACAGATTTGGTAAGTAAACATCATTAAATGATATACACTATACACATATACATGTATATGATATACACTATACTATTAGTATACTATTAGTATAGTCATATACATATATATGTGTATAGTGTATATCATATAATGATGTTTACTTACCAAATCTTAAAGCAACATGTGGCAATATTTGTGTTAGATTACAAAATTTGTTTAGTGAAAAGTATTTATATTTTTGACAAGACTTCATCTATATTTTGTACTAGTAATTTTTGACGAAATCATGTTTTCTTACTTATCTTTATGATTCAAGTCTGTTAGGAATGTTTAGCATTAAATTTAGAAAATTTTGAACATGTTGCAATTTTAAATGACAATTTTCTCAATGTCTTACTGGACTTGTTATAGTTTGTTTAAGTTTGTATAGTTATAGTTTGTTGAAGTTTGTTTATTTTTGTTCTTGATAATAAAAGTGCCTTTATTTATTTTATTATTTATTATGTTGTGTCTCAAGTGTTTTCTTTTAATAACAACAATGTTATATTAATATTGTTTGTAATAATACATTCCATTGATAATTTTAAAAAATGACTTTGATCATATAAATGATGTCATCAAAATTGCTTTCGATAATTGTCATGTAATGTATTTTTTTAATTTTTTTTTCATCATTTATTTGCATTTTATTTTCTAGAACACTTTTAGTATTTTTTATTGCTCTATATTAACATTTCTCAAATTAAAGTTTTTTTTCAATTATCAAATATAACAAAATGATCAATTGCAATTATACTTAATGCCTATAATTCCTATTTTTTATATAATTTATTACTACATTTATTTCTATGAGAACGATAAATAAGTTTTATCATATTGTTAAATTTATTGATGAAAAAAATATTCAGTGGCTGTTTTTCATGTAAAATGGATATCAATCAAGCAATACATTTTTGGATAAAAGATCTTACAATCGAGGTCATTTACAAATAGTTAAAAACTAATCTTAAGTAAATATTATGAAATAGGATTGATAATACAAATAATAATTATAATAATAATAATGATGATAAATTAAAAGTTATAAGAATAATAAAAAACTTATATGATAATAAACCAATATCAATTTTAAAACAACAATTGAACATAATGCACAGACAGGAAAGTTACAAACAGTTATGTACTGACAAAACGTAAAAACCTACCATGTAGCTAAAACAATTACTGCAAAAAAAAAGTAACAATAATTTAATAAAAATAATAATCTTAATATCAATAACCATAATAAAAACAATAAAAGTAAAATAATTACTTCATTAAAAAATAACAATAAATAAAAAAAACAAAAAATATTCAATTAAAAGTATAGAGTTTTCATAAAAAATGACAATATTAAAATAAAAAAGTAAATCATATCAAGCAAACACATATCATCACTCCAAAATAATAAAAATTAAAAAATATTCTCTTTTCTTTTTTCCCAAAAAAGGAACAATTTTTATTTTAATTCCTTTTTAATTACTTTCATTTTTTGAATGTATTTTTTCTTTTAACTTTGTTTTTGTTTTTTTTCCTTTTTCTTTTCTCGTTTCTTTTTTCTTTTACTAATTTGTTTTTAAATTTTTTTTAGTTAGATAACAAATGGTGTTTGTGGATGGTCCTTTAAGACTCACCACATTTACTATTAAAAATGTAAAGATTACATGAATGATTAGATTGATTATGATTAAATTATTTTGCATAACTCTGGTTAGTTATTTTATGTATATTTTCACTAATATATATATTTTCTATAGTATATAATATTTTTGTTTGTTTTTTATTTTGCAGTATCTTTCTAACATTTTTTTATTATTTTGATTTTTTTAGTTACATATGACTAAACAAGAGAAAAATTACCTATGATAAATGTTTATTCAATCAACGACAGTAAAACCCTGATAAATTTAGAAGTAAACATATTTCAGAAAAGTCTTTGTCCTACCAGGTAATGATCATGATGATTGCGATGATGATATGATATACGTGATAATGATGAGCATATGTAATTTAGATGATGATCATCATATCATGATGTTGGTTCACTTTCAGTTTTTTATAGAAATTTATATTATCACAAATTTGCATATTTAAATTCAGAAACTGACACTCCACAGTAACTGAAAAAAAAGAAAGTTGTAAATAATAAAAATAGACACTTGCTCCCGCCCGTGCTATTACTACTTTAACATTTTTATGTATTGAAAATTTGACTTCTTCAAATCATTTAAAGTTAAATAACTTTTTAAACCAAGGCTCTGCTTCTGAAGTTTTAGAAAAGGATGTATTTTTACACTTTTTTCATTAGAATATTCTTTTTTCTTTTCGTAACTGAATTTCAATATGTTCTGAAACAATCTTTTAGTTTATGTAAATAGGACACAAATTCGTATCAAATTTTATCAAGTTAAATTAATGGACGTACTTTTTTCGAAAGCAATGAGTTAGACAACTGATGGGATAGAGACCCATCCACTTCTATGGTATTGTATTTTATTGACTAGAAAGGTTTTTTTCATGAAGAATTTATTTAAAAGAGTGCTTTATAAAGTGACAATGTCTTAATTTATTTTTAGCGCTTAAATTCTAAAAAATGTGCTTTGATTAAATAAAAATGAAAATATTTTGTTGTTGCCTATTGAGATGATAACAACTTAGTTGTGTGCTAAACAGTTGCTGGATGAGTTAAAGCTCTCATAGCTTCCTAAATCAGTATTGCATCATCAGTTGCATCTAATGCTAAAATTGAAGCACACAGTAAGCATTAGTAAACTTAATTTAACTGTTTCATTGTTGTTAATTTTTTGTTTTTTTTAGTTTTTGGGGTCTTGACATCTAATGGATGTTTATCTGTGAGATGGTTTCTTGCGAATGTGAGCAAAAAAACACTTCATTGCATTGGTTAATAGTAATCTCGCAATTTACTCTTGGAGTTATTTTTATATAATTTTTTTTTTCGATAATAATATGAACTTGTCTTATCTTTAAATATTGTTTTAAATTTTATATCTAGTGTATTAAATACAATAGGGTTGAGGTGCAAAATTTTTTTAAAAAAGATGTTTTTTTAATTATCCTAAAGTTTTTTATATGTGTGTGTAATGTACATTTATATCATACATTTTAGTTTAGTTGTTTACTATTTTTCACACATAGTTTAACTTTGTGTTATTTAGATGCTGTGAAAATTATTATTATATTATTATTATATTTTCTTTGCCGTATAATTAAATTTACAATGAGAAAAAACCATTCATGTATAAAAATTGGCCGGAGCAAGAAGAAGACATAAACTGTCTTATCGCCAAGCCCCGTTTAAATTAACGTCACAAAGTTACAAGTTAAAAACTAAAAGGTTAAAAATTGAAGTACAATACAATATTAGTTCGACAGATATAAGACACAAGTAATAAATCGAATAAATGTTATTTGTCTGTTCAAAATTAATAGTATATATATTTTTTATTTTAATAAGAAATAAACAAGATACACAAGACAATAGTAAATGAGTAGTGATGACTTTTTCAGGTTTAATTATTTTAGGTGATTTTAGAAGAAATCTTTAAAATCGAAAGTTTTTTCTAATAGAAAACGTTTAGATTCTCTTTTGAATTGTTCTAAGGAGATGCCTCGAAGAATTTTATTTTTAACTATATTTTTTAAAAAACCTTTCCATATAAATGGTCCCCGGTATTGAATTTGAAATGAATTGAGTTTTAAATAAGATCTTGGAATAACAAAATTATCAGATGAAAATTTAGTGGGATATTTATAAGATATTTCGGTAAAGTAAGACTGAAATATATTAGGAGATAACGCATGTTTTGTTTTAAACGTAAATAGCATAACTTGGTATATATTAAGTTTGTAAATATTAAGCACATTAAGTTTCTTTAAAAGAGATTCACCATTAACAGTTCTGTTAACGCCAAAAATAATCCTACAAGCATGTTTTTGTTTGCTATAAATTTTTTTGAGCTTCCCTTAATTGGTACTTGCCCATGCAAGATTACAATAGGAAAGATAACTATGAATAAATGAGAAATATATAATTTTTAAAGATTCCGTATTAAGAAAAGGTTTAACTTTATATAGCATTGAAATATTTTTGGAGATTTTATTTTCAATAGATCTAATATGATATTTCCATGATATATTTTCATCTAATATCACTCCTAGAAAGTTAATAGTTGACTCTCTTTTAATAACTTTTTTGTTCATAAAGAGATCAGGTAGTTTTAAAAAAAGGTTATCACCTTTACTAGGTTTGTGGAACAACATAAATTTAGTTTTCCCAACATTTAATGAAAGTTTATTATTCGTAATCCATTTATTTTTAATAACTCTTCATTAAAAATTCTAAACAGATCTTTAATATTTCTGTTAGAGTAAAAAAGATTTGAGTCATCAGCAAACAAAATAACGTTTAGAATTTTGGATGCTAAATACAAATCATTAATGAACAGTATGAATAATAAGGGCCCTAAGATTGATCCCTGGGGAACACCACAAGTTATGATATGTTTTTTATCTTCATTTTCTGTATATATTATGTATTGTTTCCTGTTTGAAAAAAAAATAAAAACTTTAACCTCAGGAGCATCAGGAGAAGAGTTTAAACATTAACTGAAAAGATATTTTTTGCTTTTCAGGGATCGAAATGGCGGACGAAAAGCTCGAGAGGAGCGTTCTTTGTATAAAAAGTTATTTGCATAAATAACAATTTGAACTTTAAATAACATTTTTTTATTTTTTTTTTCATTATTTTTTAACTTACTTTTGGTTGGAAATAAATTTCGAAAATACTTATTTATTTTTTTCGATATAAATTGGAATAAATTTCGAAAAGTACTTATTTGTTTGATTCATGCGGGATAATACATTTGTACTGAAACAGCTAATAATAACGTCCTAATGTATTAGTAAAAAGTAACACTATAGTAATGACACGCGACCACGAACAAATGTTGGAAAATGATCACGGATCAGTACTGGTAATAGAAAATGGGCCAGTGCTGGTCAGCGATCGCGGGCCAGTACTGGCAAATGATTCCTGGCAAGTGCTGGCAAACAATCGCAGGCCAGTGCTGGCGAACGATTGCGGGCCAATGCTGGCCCAGGGCAGCATTGCCCCGCAGCAATGGCCGATTTGATGCAGGCCCGTGTCGACAGCCGTCATCGCGCCGTAGTCGCAAGCGGAACTGGGCCAGCATTGGGACGCTAGCGGGAGGCTGTCTGGGCACGTGAGCATGCGTAGTTTTACTTCAAACATATTAAAACTTATAATATGCATGCCCACATGATTATTTTTCCTTTCTTTTTTCCGTTCCCGTAAAAAACAGATGAATAGAAATTCACCTAAACTGAAAACATGATGTAGCTCTGATGAGGTAAAATCTAACTCCATTTTCTTGGTTTTAATCCTGTACCTCTAGCACGTAAAACTAAGAAACGAGGAGGCGGAGTACTTTTTTACGTAAGCGGTTTATAAAAAAAGCATGATATCATTTCTGATGCTAACAAAAAAGTTTTAATAATTGAAATTTTAGCCAAAAAACTAAAAATATATTTATAAATTGCTGTTATCGCCCACCACCACTACCACCATCTGGTGAAATAGTTTTAAGTCATTATCAATTACTAATATCATAAAAAAAACATTAGAAAAAAAAATTAAACAACATAATTGGTAACATAAATTTAAACGCATTTAAATTTCACGTAAATTGCAAAATTAATGAGTTTTATAATGATTTATTTGAAAACGACGCAATTCTGTTATTCAATAAACCAGCAAGAGTAACTTCGAATTCAGTTTCCTTAATAGACGACATTATGACAACGAACACTTTTAATGAATCCCTCAAAAAGGGTTCAATTAAAAGCGATGTTTCAGATCATTTTCTAATTTTTTTTTCAAAAATTATTGGCATTGAGTTGGTACCAATACAAAATCTAGTCTTCTTTAAACGATGCTGCAGCCAAGCAAATGTAAAATTGTTTAATAAATTTTTACTACACTGGAAACATATATTTTTCATCGAAAGCAAATCTAGTTTATATCTCGTTCTTTAAAACATTTTTTTAAAGTTTATAACACAAACTTTCCTCAATATGAAGAAAGTCTTAAAAAAAAAAAAGTATTAAGTCACCATGGATCACCATGGATCACCAAAGAACTCAAAAAATTGTCCAATATTAAACAAAAATTGTATTCTAAGTATTTAAAGTCAAAAAGTGATAAAAATAAGGCGACATAAAAATTACCTGAAGCATTTAGAAAGTCAAAGAAAAAACTAAAAATAAAAATACTACTCAAACTTGCTAAAGAAGTTTAAACATGAAAACAAAACACTCGTGACTCAAAACGCACGTGGCAAATTTTAAATGAAACTACTAGCAGTTATAAGAATAAAACATGCAGCTTACCAAAACTAACTAAATATAATGATTTTTATATAATCCAAAAGATATAGTAAATAATTTAAATAAGTATTTTGTTGGTCAAAACTTAGCACAAAATATTCCAGTTATAACTAACACAACAAATTATTTTACCTTTCTCGTAATTTCTGTACTAAATAACTTTGAAATTTCCATTAAAGAGTTTGAATGCGTTTATAAAATGCTAAGAAGTAATAAAGCAATAGGTCCTGATGAAATAAATGGTAAAATTATAATTGGATCTTACGAGATCATAAATATTATACTCTTTCAGGTCTTTAGTTGTTCAATTAAACAAAAAATATTTCCCAACCAACTAAAGATTGCTGAAGTTATATCAATATTCAGAGGGAGGGGATGGAGGGGGGGGGGGATTATCAAATATGATTAATTATCGTCCAATTTCTGTACTCTCTTGTTTTTCAAAAAAATTTAAAAAGGAATCTTTAAATAAAATATATGATCAACTTTCTATAAATGAAATATTAAATTCCAGTCAATATGGATTTAAAAAAAATTATTCCACTGAACATGCAATGCTTCATCTGACTAGAAATATTGCGGATTTATTTAAGAAATCACAATACACTCTTGGAGTTTACATTGATCTATCAAATGGTTTTGATAAAATAGATCATGAGGTTCTTATACAAAAACTTAAAAACTATGGAATCATGGGAAATTTTCTAAAATTACTAAAAAAGCTATTTAAGCAATCGTAAACAGTTTGTTCAAATTTCTTCCTTTACAAAGTTATTAGATATAACAATTGGTGCTCCCCAAGGGTCTATATTAGGACCATTTCTTTATCTTATTTATGTTAATGATCTTCATAACGCCTCAAAATTAATGACAGTAATGTTTGCTGATGACACAAACTTTTTCCTGTCCAGTAATAATAATTTAGAACTTTTTCATGACATGAACATAGGGATAATTAAAATTTTAAACTGGTTCAAGTCAAATAAACTGTTAATAAACATAAAAAAAGCTAAATAGACTTTATTTCATTCAAAATCCAAAAAACATATTTTACTAAATGGTATGCTTTAAATATATATTGACAATATTCAAACAGAGCAATCAAAGTTATACATTTCCTTAGTGTTTTCATTGATGAAAATCTCACATGGAAAAATCATACTGAAAATTTATGGAACAAAGTTTCAAAAAATATTGGAGTGTTGTATAAAGTAAGAAATTTTCTAAATAGACATGCATTAATACAACTTCATTACTTGTTTGTTCAATAACGTTTATTTAGGTTCCGGTAACATGTTACGCAAACCTAAACGAACGTCACGGCAACTTTTCTTGAATGTTACTTGTTAATTGTGTATTCATAATTTTTCAGAAGTTTTACCGAACATTCACAGAATGTGCTCGAACATAATATATGTATTAGCTGGGTACCTTATGACTGTGTAACTTATGACTTGTATCTAATCCTAGTCAGTGCTCAGTTTCTCCCCATAAACTCTTAGGTGGTTTGATCTCTCTGAAACTATTATCTCAATTTTTTTTATCATCAGAACTCCCCTGCCATCATACCTCTTACTACTACCTTAAAGCTGACTGGAACGCTCCGAGATTTTTTTCAAGATACCCCTTGGGTAGAAATCTTTCGTTT